TTAATTAGGTTGAGTAAGTAAAAATTAATTGTTAATATATTTAAAAATATATATAAATAAATAAATTTATTTATTTTTTATTTTATATGGACCTCCATGGCTCCCAACAGGGCAGAAGAAATTCTCCACAAAATTTCACGGGAAAAAAAATGTCTCCATCCCCGTCCCATGAGGAGGAATATTCTCAGAATTTCCATCCCTGGGGCGGAAAAATCCGCGAAGCTCCACGAGTTGCGGAGAAAATTGCCATCCCTAATTATAAATTTATAATATCATTTAGTGTTATAATTATGGCATTTTCATAAACCACAATTAATTTTGATTGATACTCTTTTTCCATAGCGATTTAATGGCAAATACAATTCTTTGATATTTAAGAAATAAGCAGAAAAAATATCCAAAATCTTTTCTTATGATAAATAAAATTCAACTCTTTTGAAAATTAGCCATTCATAATTTTTTCATCCATTTCCGTGATCTCATTTAACCAATGTCCATTAACATGTTAAAACTATTAAAAATTTAAAGGGTTGGTCTAATCTTTGCCTTAAGAATATATGTTAAGGGTGTATTAAATACATATTTTTGTTATAAATTTGTATTAAAAAATGAAGATCAACATTTCATTTATTATTTATCCAATTAAATTCACAAACTTAATATTAACGTTAAAATTAATATCAACTTTTATATTTTTATATATATTTATAATAAAATATATTTTTAGGACACTGATTGGGGCACACCCGGATCCCACACCCGGGTGTGCACCCCCCGTATAACCAAAACAAAACCAAAAATTATAGGGATAAAATTACAAATTTAACCTTAAAAAGTCATCTTCCTCACACTACCCATTTCTCCTTCTCTCTCGATTCTTCCCCTTTCTGCAAATCTCCACCTTGTTTCCATTCTCCGATCTTCACCATCTTCTTGCCGATTTCAGCACCATCACAACCTCCATCATCATCCTCGATCACCACTGAAACAGAAGAAGGATTCGACAGCCAAAAACTTCTGTCTCTTTACCTCGGGTTTTCTTCCTCCTAGTATTCTGCATATCCGGTTTTTGAGGAGAAAGGAAGGGTTTCGTTTGGGGCAACAACGACTGAAGAATGTGGGTTTGTTGAACCCGAGCTGGGTTCTCCAGCAGAACCCAGATCTGGGTTCTGCTAGAAAAACCCAACATCTGGGTTCGGCTGCCTTCGTTCTTGATTTTCTTGAATTAATTAGGGTTTCTCAATTGCTTTTTTATCTTTCGCTACTTCTGATTTTGAATGTTTGTCTTCGAATTTTTGTTAGCTTCGCTTTAGGTATTGGAATTTTAGGAATTTAAGGTATTCAGAGATGAATGAAGGAAAAGGGGAGGATTCCC